TATTTCCCTGAACATATCCCCTACATGACGTGACTGCACCCATACACACCACCTCCTTCTCCCTCCTTGCCCCCTTCATATCCTTGAAAATCCCACATTGCTCCCCAGCTCTCCCAGCCTACACCGCAGCTGGCTCTGGTCCAGGAGCATCAGCTCTGGTGGGGGCGTTTGGAGTTCATGGAGGTCTCTTGCCCTCATGGGGACTTGCCTTTTTCCATAAAGACCTCCAAGTCCTGTCCTCCTAAGGCAACTGTCCAGGAGAATGGGATTTCCTTATGCTGTGAGGAGCTGGAGATTCTGCCACATGCTTTAAGCATCCAGCAAGATTTCATAGTTGGAGCAAGGAAAAGGTCACACTGAATGTCTATTCACAGCATGTCAACTGGGAGCTTAATTACTGCAGAATTCAGGTGCTTTCCTAAAGTACCTCCTTCCTCCATCCAGCTGGTGCCGAAGAACAGCGCCTGACACCTGAATACTGCTTCAGCACCACTCACAAGGGGTAAGAAGCCCCCCTTAGATATGGCTACATGAGACACTCAGGGCCGGGGGTGATGGGGAGCAAGGGAGGGATAGGAAGGGATTCCCTGTGGATCTTACTGCACTGAAGCATTTTAATCTCCAGCCTCCTCAGAAGACAAGGTTTGCTAAGAAGGAGGAAATTTACACTAATTCCAGAAGGATGCTCTTCCTATATATTGCAAACACAGGTTTCTCAGGATCTTTAACTTCATGTGAAGTTGGAGTTATCTGTGTTATCAGGTGCTATTCACATCATGTCAGAGTCCTGACAAGATCTGATGCTGGGTGCTATCTTTCGTAAGGGAACTGCATCTTATGTGTTGTTTACTGCTGCCTCCTAAATGGCCAGACTTCCTCATAAACACTTTTAAAACTTCATTCTGTCCTCCAGGGCTTAATTCTTCACTTCTACAGAAGAGTTGGGGTTTTTAAACTATATTTTTCACAATAAATGATCTGAATCTGTCTTCTAATTGAAAAATCTCAATTTATCCATAACAGCTGAGTCATGACCAACACAGTACTGTAATTTTTTTATTATTTTCTGTATTCCTTTATGAAAGCAATCTGGCAGCATGTGAGGGATTTTTTTCCTCACCACTGTACATTAACCAGATGGTTTTCGCTCTATTGTCCACAGATACACCCACATAATTTTTTTGCCTTCATGCTTCCAGTTAATTTAGAAATCACTAGTGATTATGAAGCACTGAACTTGTTCCTTCCAATATGTTTTACCTTCCCCCTGTCCACGCTTAATTTCTTCTCCCATCACGCTGCCCAATTAATTAGCTTTGGCTCATCCCTCTGAAGCTTCTCTCTTGTCTCTAGATTTCACTAATCTGATCATTTTTAATAGCTGCAAATATAACTTTAATCTGCTCGGTGCTCCCCTCAGCCATCATAAACAGGTACTTCAAATCCCCCCACATCCCTCACTGGCACAAGGTGCACTGAGTGCCTCTGACAAGTGAGTCCTGCCCAACATTCTCTTGTCCTGCTGATGCAGTCACCTGAGCAGCAATGAGCAGTCATCTCAGGTGTGGTTCATTTCCCTTTCATTGTGTTTTCACTCTCTGTTTCTGTTTCTTTGAGGATGTGCTGCAGCTGAGCCCTCACCTTTATGGAGACCTTCCAGTTATAGGGTGTTTTAGTAGTGTCTGTCCATTTCTGGCGCGAAATCTTTCATCTCAGCACTCTGCTTGTGATTGTTTGGCAGGAGTTCAGGCTTTTAGTCTTGAGTGATCTGAGGGTTTTTTTGGCTGTCAATAATGTTACCAAATTTGTCATGGCATATTTATCTGTTGCTATGTCTGTAGTTAAATGAAGCATGTGAAGCTCAGAATGTATTGGCAGGCAGATTTTAATGTTTGAGAGAACATAATCAAAAACAAAACCCCATCTTTCCATGCCAGACAGGCCTGAAATACAAGTATAGCCTTTTCCTTTTGTATTTTATGTCTCCAGCAACATTTTTTCTAATTATTTTTTGAAGAGGGGCATCATTTGGATTGTATAATGAGTCCAGTGGGATAGTGTATCAGCTAATATTTAATGTAATGAAATCTCATTTCCTTCTGTTGGATGGGTTCTCAACAGAGTCTCCCTTGCAGCTGAGAGCAAAGGGCCGTTCTGATATCCATTTTCATTTCATGCATCCCAGTGGATGCATAAATACAACAAGAAGTTTCAGTGGAGTGGGAGGCTCTGTGCATTTTGCTACATTCCCTTCAGAGTCTGTCCCTTTTCTTTTTCTGGGCAGGAAAGTTTCCAACTGGCAGCTTATCCTCAGTGCCCCAGAAGTGTTTTATCTCTGGCTGACTCTTCTAGGTCACACAGCCTCTTGCCTCATGTCACCTCTCAGGGACACTGCCCATCTCTAATCTGGACTGAATGGCTGTGGTTATAAAAGCAAAGCTCCAAACCACATCACTTAGGCTGATTTTTGCCATACCTCCACAAGCATGTACATATCTATGTATGCATACATTTCTCTCAGAGCTGCCTGAGGTTGGAAAGGCTTTGATTTGGGATGCTAATGTCACCTTCTCATTGTTCAAGCAAGAGAAACAGTGCTGCAGCTCTGCTAAGCAGCGTATCTCTAAAAGTTGGTGAAGGTTAATCTTCTGCCTGGCCAGGCAACTGCTGTACCTGCACATTACTCCAGGGATATGCATGGCTCTGGTGAAGGATGGATCAACCATCCCCAGCTGATGGAAGGAGCTGGCCAGAACTGTGCAGGGATGGCTGTGGTGGAGGTGACCATGCACACCATTGTGGCAGTGATGTCCCTGCGAGCTATCCTCCATGCATGTGGAAAAGCCAACAAAGCTCTCTGAGCCTCAGCAAGCCATGGATGAAGACGCTTCATCCAGCAACTGAGTTTTTCTTTCATGGTCCCCCAGGACAGGGAGAAATGGGGTTTTGAGCATGCCTTTCTTCCCTATAACTCCACAGCCTCTCCATCCTTGCCAAGAGGCTGTCCTTGAGGAATGGGGCCTCTTTGCCTTTAATCACCCCATGCTGGCTGGACAGGGCTGCATGGGATCTCATAACTGGGGCAAACAGCAGAACTGGGAAGGAGGTAGTCAGTGGTGACCACACCCCAGGGCTCCTGAGGACGTGAGCAGGGCCCTTATGGGGACTTTGACTCAAGGAAGGTGATTGCCACCAAACCTCTTTGCTCCCACCCACGCGACAGCAAGTCCCACTGACTCCCCTGCTTCCTCACAGGGCTGCAGCTCACCCCACACCCACACTATATCTTGAGGTGTGCACAGTCAGAGCTGTACTTCACACCTGCTGGGACTTTGCTGCAGTTGGAGTCAGCAGGGCTGAAGGAACCCCTACAAGTCATCCGCTCTGTTCCTGTGTCCCAAGTCACATCCTGAGGCCACTTCCAAAGCGTTCTTCTAATCTGGATTGACAGATCTCGGATGGCAGAGATGCAAGGCTTCCTTACTTCTCCCCTAACCCTTTCCTGTCTGTCCCACTCCCCAGGGACATGGGGACAACTATTTCCTTCTTAGATTTCCCTCAAACTATGCTGGCTGTGTCTGGCCACAGACCTGTTTTCCTTGGAGATCACTCTGCTCACAGCAGCAGCCTTTTTGCTCTGGCTGACGTCCTCAAAGACAGCTTCCCTGCTGAGGCCCCCAGCCTGGGGCTTGCATTCTGGGCTCAAATCCTCCTCAGACCTGCTGAGCGTTGCCAGCAGTGGGACACAGATATTACCCTCAGGGAGGGAAAACTGGTCATCTGCCACTGATTCTTTGGGGAACGCATGCATTTCAGTCCTGTGGTTAGCCCACATAATTCAGTCCTTTTAGCTTTTCAAAAGGGTGTCTCTGCTGCTGCTGGAAAGGTGTGCAGCTATGTGAGAGAGCTGGAGCAGAGGGGAGGCTGCCCTGCCCATCTCCAGTGCCCCAGCCCTGTAATGGGACCTTGAGACCCAGCTGCCGTGGTACATAGCCCATCAGCTGTCAGTTCAGCTCCTGGAAGAAGCTGGGAGCTGTTCGAGACAAGCCCGGACCTTCAGAAAGTCACGTTGCACTGAGAAGACACAGCGTAGTCCCAAGGGAGCCTCAGTGGGGCTGCAGAGGTGACAGCTGGGTAGCATTGCTGGTGGACACGGGCGGCTGCGGGTCTGCCTGTCCCGGGCTGCCCCTGGCGAAGCAGCACTGAGGATGGGTGGAGGCAGGCGGCTCTCTGCCGCTCGGACAGGTCGCTGCGGCTAGACCAGGCTCCAGCCGCGTGTGTATCTCACAACAGCCGTCTCGGTGCTGGGTGGTCCTGAAGTGGGGAAAACTATTAGGGAGACATTGAGGGGGTTTAGGAACAGCAGGGCATCGGTACAGGGCTCAGGGAGCTGCCGAAACGTGAGAGAGCATCGCGAGCTCCCCGGGACATTTGGGGGAGTGGGGAGGAAATGGGCTCGGGAAGAATGGGCTGTTGCGGCTGCGGTCTTGACTCTTGCCGTGCTGGTGCAAACCCCGGTTACCTTCACTAGTCGGAGTGATGCCCAGACGTGTGTGTGGCAAATCAGCCTGCCACCCCGATTCTTACGGAGCAGGGCGGAAAAATACCTGACTGAGCCAGCGAACGAGCTGGCTGTCCCTGGGGTGCAGCCCCCGGGCCGGGCTGCCTGTCCCCCTCAGCACTGCTCGGGCAGCGAGAAATCGCTTTTATCCTTTTCCTTTAAACTCTGCTCTCTGGCACTGGGTCTTTCCCTCGCTGGGGGAGTGGGAAGGGCTGTGCCCTGGGAAATGCAGCGATCCGAAGAGAAAGGAGAGAGTTTGTGCCGTGTTATCGGAAGCAGCAGGCGAAGCAGTCACGTCGGGAGCAGCGGCGCGGCTCCCCTCAGCCAGCCCTCGAGCCGCTGATCGCGGCGGGCGAGCGCGGCTCTGCGGGCGCGGAGCTGAAGCGCGGTCCGGCCGCAGCCGGAGCGCTGCGCCGCTCCCCGCGGCACCGCGCCGTGCCTCCGGCTTGGCGGGTGAGCCCTTCCTCGACACGCAGGTAAGGACCCGCGTACCGCTCTCGGGTGGGGGCATCCCCGCTGGCACCCGGGCGGGTCGGCGTTCCCGGGGGATCCGGGAGCTCGTCCCCAGCGTCCCCAGGCTGCTCCAGTGGGATGGGAGCACGTCCCCAGGGAAAGGCAGCCTCGCGCAGAGCTCATGTTGGCGCCAGAGGGGTCAGAAAATACCTTGGGGGATGTTAAAATGAAAGGCTACAACCTGGAGACGCCAGGACAAATTACCTCGTCAGAGGCTCTGGGGTGGCCAGAATGTAAGGATTTCAACCAAAGTTTTGGAGGCCAGATATGTTGGAGCAATTGCAATGACACCTTGGACCCAGGCTGCCTTCAGGACTCCCTCCCCGGGTGGCAGCTCAGCCGCCGGCTGAAGTTTGGGGGTGGTTTTCTTCTTCTGAGAAGCCTCAGCAGCCGGCGGGAGCCACGCCACTGCCGGCCATCCGCGGGATGCAGCTGGGCAGGGGAACAGTCCGGGGAGCTCGGTGGACACAGGGGTGCCGTGACTTGTGCCAACGACACGACTTCCCTGAGCAGCACCATCTCCCTGTAGTCCTGAGGATGACCTCCCATTTTGTGTTTGAGGGAAAAAGCCACTCGTTCCGGAGTTTCAATGGGAAGCACTTTCCTTCTCTACCCGGTGCCTGTTTATAATTCCTTCTCCGAAGCTGCTGCGGGTTTCACAAAAGAAATGCTGCTCTCCCAAACCCATTTTACTGGGCTGCTTCCTTTGCTTCTGAAAAAGATAAATTCCCCTTTCATTTAGCTTGGATCTGCCACCAGTAAAAGCCTTTCCCCCAGGAGGAAGGTAGCACTATATAAATACCAGGGGAAACCAGAGAAGTGGGGTCTAAGCCTGCCTGCCACGCGCAAGAAAAAAATATCTTTGGTCTCTGAGGGATAGTTGCTGGTTACTTTGTAGATTGTCATGAGAAGAAATTACCCAAGCCAAAATGCAGTGACTGCACTTCTCTGGCAAAAGTTTCTTGTGTTATAAAAACAGCTGGCAGAGCTAAAGCTTTGGAGAGCTGAATCCACTTCACTTTTTCTCCCTGAGCCACCATCAGAAGCAGGTAATAAACACCATTATTAAAGAATGAGTAATTTGCTGCAGCTCTAGCACGGTGAATTTGTACAGCAGATCCCCTGCTTTTGCATGGTACCCAACTCCTTCCTGCCCTCAGCCCAGCCTGCAGACATCACCATCACTTGCAGAGAAGTAAGCAAGTACTCAGAAAAAAATTGGCCCTTAAAATCTCCCTCTATCACCTACAAGCTCCCTGAAGCAAGCCCCAAAAGGGCCAATCCTGCCCAGCCCGGAGCTTATGGCAGAGCAGTCTGTGGGCCCCTGGCATGGGCATGGGCACGGGCATGGGCACTTCAGGCCATTTTGGTTTTTCTGCCCCCCTCACAGCCCCTCTGCTTGTGTTGGCACATACTCACATCTTCCCAGGACCATCTTTGATTCACTAGGTAGTCCAAAGCTCTGCCCTTTCTGTCCCCCTTTTTCTGCCTAGTTTCTGAAGTTCTGGACCTGAGCCTGTGACTGGCAGATACCACTTGCAGGAGCTGCAACTGCATTGCTGCTTTCAGGGTGGTAATTTCAGGCAACATCTTTAGACTGAATTTCTCTATTTGTAGAGTTGGAGATGGGCAAATGAAATTATTGGCTTTTCTGAGTGAAGGGCCAAGGCAGAGCATTAGAGAGGGAAAAAGATCCATAACAGGTTTCCTCCAAATTGTCCTTCTCTGTATGTTTCTCTGTCAAGTGAAAAAGGCAGCAAACCAAACACTTTGCTCAGCCTGGAAGGGAAGGCTGCAATGATCCCCAGTGTTTCTTGGGTGCATCACTTAAACCAGCTTCCTTTTGGAGTAAAACACTTCAGGTATGTTTTGAAAACCAGAGCTGGTTGCAGGATTTGTCCCCAAGCTATGTGTCTGGAAGCTCAACAGCTGGTGTGAAAAATTGGCCCAAGGCACATCAGAGACTCAGTGCTATGTGTGACAGCCACACTGATGCTGCTCCTGGCTGGGCAGAGGTTTCTCTGCAAATCCTTCCTGCTCTCCATGACTTCCATGGTGGCAGGGAAGGACAAAAGGGTCCCCATCCAGCAGGAACATGCTGGGAGGGAAACACCATGAGCAGAATGGACTCCCTCAGCCCACGTAGGACCAACAGTGCCGCTCACCCAGAGCACAGCTGCCTCTTTCAGCACACTGTGATGCTGGATGGGTACAAGAAGCAAGCTGAGTCCTCTCCCAGGAGGGTGGTATCATGGGCTGGGAAGAGAAAAGGGCCAGGACAAAATGGAAATACCGCAAATGAAGGAGCAGTCCAGAGGGCGCCTCAGCAAGGTGACTTGACCAGGTCATGGAAAGAAACGAAATCTTCCCAATTGATATTGTTTTGTACAGATTTGTTTCCATACTGTATGGAAGAAAATTTAGCACTATCCTCTGCATCATCCTGGAGTCTGATATTGTAGGATGGACAAGCGTTGTGGGATGGCTGGGGGCAGCTCCTGCCTTTCCTCTCATTATATTCCTGACAATAGAGTAAACCAGTGTGAACTGCCCCTCCTCAAACTCAGAGGGCACATCTCCACTGAGTATTCTTTGGCAATATGGAATTTTGGAATATGGAAGAGACTCTCAACATCTGGTTTGGATTTCACTTTTTGACCCTAGTAATAATTTTAACACCTTGAAGTTTGTCTGGGCCTGCAGATGTTTGCCAGATGGGGAGACTTATTTGCTGGACCAGGAAATCATCTTACTGCTGATAATTGGAAACTTAGGGTTTTGAAAAGTAAGCTAGAAAAGTGTCATCTCCACAACTTAAGTTCATTTTTAAAGAGAGAGCAGATCATTGGCAGATGAATTAAATATCTGAACTACAGAGGAGTCTTGTGAATCCCCAGGAGTATCAGGACACAGTAATCAAGGTGGAAATAGCCCTGAGCTGAAGGCAGGGAGACAAGGATAAAATAAACAGGGCAGTGGGGAAAGGAGGGTGCTGCATGCGCTAGCCTTCAGGGTGCTAATGAATCATTTGAGTATGGAAATGTTCTAAACAGAGACAAATGAGCAGTCCTTAACAGACGCTTTACATTGCCAGCTTCAATTGATAAGACAGGGATTTTCAGAGAGATGTGAGGATGGAATTAGGTGCTGTGGCTAAGCTGCCCTATCAGCAAACCACAGCTGTGAAGGGGAGAACTTTCTGTGCCCCCAACAACTGCTGCCACCTTGAGTGCTATGTCCCTGTCCCCATTTTGGTCTTGGATGGTGCAAGTTTCTCACCTGGAAGAAAGCCAGGTCCCATCTGCCTGACCACTTCTGTGCTGGATGCCAGGATGTTGATCCCTGGGATGCAGACCTGCACATGGTCCCAGGCTGGGCTGCAGGGCAAAGGGGAACACGGCTGGTCCTGGAGAGGAGCATGAGGCACAGGTCTGCTCCAGCATAGAGCATTGATGCTCTCAGAGTGGTAAGTGCCTACTTGGAGAAGAGCATGGAGCCATTTAGGATAACCATTGTGTTTAGCTCAATACTGGGTATAAATAGTCATGGAAAAAACCTGATGTGAAATAGAGGACTGTAGTCATTAGCAGAGGAAAATCAGCCATGAGCAAAATTACAGTCTGCTGGGAAGAGGTTCTGTGCATCTTCCAGCAGCAGAGAGAATGTCTTGATAGTAGACACATCTTGAAGGACCTCTGTGAGCAGTCCTGTGGGATACTTGTTATCCCTTTGGGCAGTCTGAGCAAGGAGCCTGATCTCAGGCGAGGGGTTGGGCTGCATCTGTGCTGGAGGCATTGGAGCCCAGGTGTCAGTGAGTTTGGCTCTCAGTAGCTCTGCATACATGGATCTTTCTAAGTAGGTTTTCTACACTGAGGGCAGAATGCCAGTGCTCCTCTCTCCAGAGAGCAGTTTTAGTGTAATTCCTTAGGGTGGTCCCGAGCTGAGGAAGAGAAGGTTGAAGCTCAGACCCAGTCTGAGCTCATGTTTCTCCAGGACAGTGATTTACATGCTGTAGCAGGGAGGGGAATTAGTCTCCTCTGACCCTCGACTAGTATTTTTGCCTCAGATGAGAAGTGAGAGCCCAACAGCTTCCAAAACTGTCTTCACTGGCTAATGCCTCAAAGGGCTGGAGATGCTGACCGTCCCAGCAGTGAGCACACCTGGGAGTCATTGCCCTGACCTCCACTGCCTCCCAGCAACCCTGATGGGTCCCCACACAGGAAAGTGAAGAAGCTCTGGTGAGAGCAATCCGTCAGCTTTGTTTGGTGTCATGTGCCCCTTTAAAGCCTCTCACAGGGGCTTCTTGTTGAGGGTGCTGCAGGGCTGCTGTTTGTTTGGGTGCAAACCCATCAAGAGTGCTCTGAGGCTGAGAGGACTGTCCCACTGTGGCTGCTGGAACCTTCAGAATTTACCCATCCCTGATCCTGTCCTGGTCCACTTCCCGGGCCCAGTGCTGCCAGTCAGGTCGCCCACTCTGCTGTGCCTCAGCTGGGCACCCCATGGCCACTCTGCTGCCCTCCCACTCCAGACCAGCCGCAGGAGCAGCCCCCCCGACACTGCCCGCTCTCCTCCCTGGTCCCATGTACATAGGACAGCCTGCAGAGACTTCCAACAGCCGCCTTATTTACTTGTTTGCGTCTCCTGCTTAAAAAATGGCATGCTGAGAGAGTCCAAACCTGCTAATTATACACCTAGCCACCCACACCACCATGTGCTTTATTTCCATCACGATCCATGCTTCCTTCTTCCCGCATGCCAGCTCGATGAGCCCTTCCCGTACCTCTCGTGCCTGAGGGGCACGGCGGGGCGCACCCCGGCCAGCCGGGTGAGCTCAGACCCGGGGCCGGCGCCGTGCTCACGCCAGACGGGCCAACGCCGGCCGTGGGGTGTGGGGGCGCCGTAGCCGTCCCCAGCGATTTGGACATACAGGCACCGCACCAGGCTTTGCCCGCAGCCGCCGTCCCGGCCCCGCCACGCTGAGGGTCGGGAGCGGCCGGGCCCCGCCACCGGGACGGTGCGGGCTGTGCGGGACGGTGCGGACTGTGCGGGGGATGCGGGGCTGTGAGGGATTGTGCGGGCGGTGCGGGGCTGTGCTGGCGGGGGGAGCTGGGCGGGGCTGGTCGGGCGGTGCGGGGGATGCGGGGCGATGCCAGGGATGCGGGACTGTTCGGGCTGTGCGGGGCTGTTTGGGCGGTGTGGAGCTGTGCGGGCGGCGCGGTGGGCTGTGAGGGCTATGCGGGGCGGTGCGGGGCTGTTTGGGGGATGCGGGGCTGTTTGGGGGATGCGGGGCGGTGCGCGGCTCTTTGGGGGATGCGGGGCGGCGCGGTGGGCGCTGCGCGGCGCGCCGGGGACACCTGGTGGCCGCCTGGCGAGCGCCGGACGCGGCCGAGGCGGGGGACACGGCAGGCACGATCGCCCTTCCGGCGCCGCACAGCCTGCGGGCACGGCCGGTGTGAAGCTGGGTGCTATGGGGGTGCCTGCTTGGAGGCGATGGAGTTTCCACTGCTCCCCTGTTGATGTGATGCGCACGGGCAGTGTGTCCAGATTGCTGCCACCAAAGCTGGGGACAGGGAGGGGTGGGAACCCCCGAGAGCTCCTGGAACGGCTTCTCCAAAACCTTCTCTAAGGCTCCTCCTTGCCAGCCCCAGGGAAGGATTTGCTGCTCCCTACCATCAGGAGCAACACCTTAGTTCTGAGCATAGCTGGGTCAGAACACTGCCGCAGAGAAACATTGTTATCAGAGACAATAAAGACCCGGTTTCCACCCGGAAATTGCCCAATTTGACTTGTGATCCTTGAAAAGCAGCCCATCGCATCCCAATTCTCAGAGCAATTTAGTCTCTGTTGGAGTCAGCAACCCTTTGGTACTGGCTTTCCACCTGTCAGGAGATCAGAACAAGCATTTTATTCACTCCTTTCCAGCTCTATCAAACCAGCTGCATCAAAGGTGTGAATCAGATTCTCTGCATCACAAATGGCTCAGCTGTCCTCCCTCTATTCCAAGTCCAGGCTTTGTGTCACCTTCTTCCTTCCCTCCTGGTCCTCACCAACTCTTTCCTCTCCAGCAGCTTCACAGCTTTTTATCTCCGTGTTGGTGGCCAGGGTTCTCTGTCTGGCTCAGATGTCACTTTGCTTCCCCTGCCGCACGCTTCTTGCCCACCATGTCCCTACCCACTGCTCTCCCTTCTGTGCACTTCTGTTTCTCTGGGTACCATCTCTGCCAGCCCCATTGGGGCCATCATATCTCACCACCCTTTCTCCCTGCTCCACACTGAGACCTGCCTCCCCATCACCCCTCTGAGCTCTCCAGCCCCCAGGCCACCTCACCTGATGCTTGTGCCACAGCAACCTTTCCCAGGACTGGTGAAGGCTTTGTTACACCCTGGGAATGAACAGCTCCTCAATCTACATGCATGTCCTGTGCCCAAGCCAGTAGCAGTGGTGTCAGACAAGCACCCATGGGAGTGCTTCAGTGTTGGCTAGAACCAAACTTCTTTCTGCAATCATGTCTGTGGGGCTGATGAAAGCACTTCCTTCTCCCCTTGAGCTGTGGTTCACCCTTCAGTGCTCAGGGCTGAGACATGCCAGGGATCCATGCTGCTGCATGGGCTCCTATGGCTGAGAGAGGGCTTGGTCCACTCCCGCCAGTCCACGAGCTCTCGCAGTCCTTCCTTCACCCCCTTTCCAAAATGACAGCTGCCCCGGTGATTTTTTTTGCCTTTGCTTCTCAGCAGCTTTGTGAGATGGTTTTCTCTTCATCAGAATCACAAGCTTGGATCCTCTGAGGCAGAGGTACTGTGTCCTGACTGGACCTGGGCCTCTGCTTAGGAGATCCAAAGCGTCTCCTGAGAGCTTCTAGGAAGGTCTGGGCTCAGGGACAAGTGCTCGACAAATCTCCTATGCTTTTCTCTTCCATCAGGAATGGGTCTGCATCTGTCCTGGGGCTATGGCAGCTGTATCTGGCCATGGTGCTGCTTAACATCAGCTGGATCAGGAGCAGGCATTCACACTGTCCCCTGCCCTCAGACCAGCCAGGGCATGGCAGTGCAGCAGGACACCAATGCCTGAGAGCACCGACCTCCCCTGGTGCTGTCCTGAAGGGGAAAGCCTTCAGCCAGGGTGGGCTAACCTTCTCACTCTGGAGTCTGGGGACATGCACCACAGCCACAACCTGCTAATGAGCCTGGGAAGCAAGGCAGAATGTTTGCTTGACAGGGCAATTAAATGATGATTGATTCCTGGAACAGCTACTTAATTCATGATTAGCTGGCTTATCATAGCCGGCATCTGTACCAAGGGTCCCTCTGAGAGCTGCCTCAGGGGATGTGGTGTGGAGGTGAGATCTGTGAAATACAAAGCTAAATTTGCTACCTCTTTATTTTCATGGCTCATTTTACCCAGTACTCGCCTTAGGAAGCTGAGAGTACACAACACAGCTGTGCATTTTCCACTCTGCTGGGGACTGCTGCAGCCAGGCTGGGGAGTGTGGGGGCCTGCTCAGCCAGCTGGTTACAGGAGCAGCCGTGCACAGGGGGAGGCAGCTCGGTAGGGAGCCAGCAGCTGTCAGGCAGCAGCAGAGCTGCAGCAATGGTTCAGCTCAACTAGGGCACTGCAGTCTGCCTCCTCCAGGGTGTGCCCAAGCTGTGTGTGTATGCTTGTCTGTGTACATCTCTCTGTGCACCTAGCAGCACATCTGTGTGTGTGCATCCTCCCCGTGCACCTAGCAGCATCTCACCACAGTTACCTGCTGCCAGTACTGCCCAGACTAGCCCCATGGGGCTGATGGATGTGCATGCTATCCAGTCTTGCTGGTAATCAAGACAGAGAATGGCCACTCTTTGACAATTTTGTCTTTTACTGCTTTCTTGCTTTCATCTTCTGACTTCATTTCTCTTTCCCCAAGCTTGGTTATTAACAGGCTTTCTGTATCACCAGGCTTATTTTATTACTAGGCTTCCCTTTTTAAGTCCCTGTGTGATTCAGATTTTAAGTCCTGTAGGATTCAGATAACCCAAATGGGGTCTGGGTACAACTGCAGGGCTGGTCTGACTCTGTCCTTCCCTCCACATGTGCATGAAGGGCTGGTCCTCACCCTCTCTGCCATTCCCTCTCTAATGTCATCTCCAGGGGCTTGATGGCCCTTGTCTTCACCTGCAAACCCAGACCATTTGGTACACAGCCTCTGTGTGATGTGCTGATCTTGTTTACTGAGGAGTGGGAAGCATCTCTAATCCCTCTGGTACTGGAACCCTTTCACATCTTCACCCTTACTGGAGAGGAAAGTTTCAGCCTGGCTGCTTTCCAGCAGGGCTGAGCACACTGCTGCAAGCATGTTGTCACACTGGCCCTCATTGTTCCCTCCCCACTGCTGACAAATGCCAGGACTGGGCACGAAGGCTGCAGTTTGTGGCTCCTTTGCTTATTTATCAGAAGCACTGTGAGATTTTCTTCTGCACTTTTCCCCTTGTCCCTGCAGTATCCCAGGGAGAGCATGAGCCTCAACTCCCAAGAGTGGAAGGCAGCAAGGAAAAGAGACTTTAGTACAGGTAAATATTTTTTAATTCCAGAGGATACAGGACTAGTACAGGCTAAATCCTTGTAGCTGTAGCCCTGCCCTGTCCGTGCTTTGTGCAGCAGCATCAAGATCCTGACTCTGCTCTAAGGACAGTTTGAGGGCTCAGAAAGGTTTGAGCTCACCTGCCTTCCCTGGGATGAAGCCTCAGCCCTGCCCAGCCCACATTCACAGACTTCCTCATACTTCAGGAGTTTTTTCCTGTGATTTCTTTTGATACCCACACTGTTACTTTTCCAAGGTATGTTCACCCTAGGACGTTTGCTGCCTGCAAGCCCTCACTGCCTTTTCCTCACAGCCCAGGTCAGTGAGACATCTCCCACTAGCCCTTCTAGCATCCTTTGGGACTCAACAGAGTCCATGTCCAGCAGCAGTCCAGCTGCACAGATGCACTCTTGCCACACTGCCTCCCTGGCACCTCCCAAACTGCCTTTTAGGTTTCCAATTCCTCCCAGCTCCTTTCCCTTCTTTCCCCTCCCACTCTCTGTTTCCCAGCGCTTGCTGCTGTGAACTTATGTTTTTTCTGTGCAGCTCTGCTCCTTCTCCAACCTGTTGCTGAGGACTCAAAGTGAGAAGCACGGCAACTTCCACTCAGGCAGCACCTGGTGCCAGTGGCCAGCAGCCTGCCCGTGGTCTGTCTGCTGGTGTTTCTCAACACATTTGGAACTGACTCCCTTCAACAGTTCTCAGCAAGATCCCATTCCTTCCTACCCTAGCTTGCTGCCAGAAGCATTCCTTGAAGTAAGGCGTGGATGCTGTACTAAAACTGTCAGTTTTCTCTCTCTAGCTCCTGCTTTGGCTGCTGCTCTCAAATGGCACTTGGTGACTGGTCTCTCCTTATGGTTTTGTTAAAAAATAGGTTATTTTGTTAGAAATCTAATTTGCATGTTAAGGTAAGCAAAGAAGAGGATTGTGGTTTCCTTGCCTGAAAACTGGGTTGTACCTTTGAGCTTCTCTGTGTCTGTGCAGAAAATAAAGCCATCTTTGCTATAAATATTCATCTGCCTTAAATATTTTGAAAATACTTAATGGCCATCTGCTGCATAAGCCACTACCAGCTTTATAAGTAATGTGGGGGACTGTGGAAGACAGGGAATGGTTTTGGGAAGGGAGAAGTGAAGGGCAGTCACCAAAATGCACAGTGTTTTAGCAGCATGAGAGGGCTTTTGAACAGTTCCATTTTCCTGAGCAGATTTCCAAAATGTGATGACCACTGCCCAAACAAAGCCAATGGACAGGCCCATTAAAAACCATGCACGGCTCTCCATTTGCATGATGTGGTGGAGTTTGGCCAAGGAAACAGGACCACTTGGGCTTTTCAGTTTCTAAAGTCTTCAGTTTGTCTATTTATATTTCCTTCTTGAGATTTAAAGCCAAGGTGATGTGCTGTCTATCAGAAAACCTAGTGCATCTCAGGGATTGTCACAGCAGGAGGAAGTGTAACCCTGCTGCACAGCATCCTGCAGAGGAGTCAGTGATCCAGGTCTCTAAGGAGACCAAGAACATTTGAGGTTGCAAGGCAATAAGGTGGCATGGTCTGGGAGCTGAGAAAATACTAAAGAGACTGTAAAACCTGGGGCTCAGGTAGTGAAGAGGGCAAAGTAATTGTTCCTCTCTCCTGAGAATGCTAATATTTCACTGTACTTTTTCTTTGTTCCAAGGTGGGTTGGGAAGCCAAAATAGTAAATGCTCCTCTGAAGGAAGGGGGGCGGGGGGAAATATTTCATCTGAAAAATTTTCATGGGAAAAAAAAAATGAGAGCAGTACAAGCCTTCAGCTTGTACCTTCACTCTGAAATGGAGGAAGGGAGAGGGAGGTGAATTTCCCTGAGGAAGAAACCCATGTTGACATTTGTAGCTGAGGATCTCCTCTGGACTCAGCATTTTCTGAAGCAGGTGGCCCAGAGCCAAGGCTGTCTGGCTGCTGCTGTACCCAGGGGTGGAGCTGGTTTAAACAGCACTTTGATGTGATGAATCGTTTACTTAAAATTTCATCATTTCAAAGTGGACCAAACCCCATGGAGCCTTCCCTTTAATCTCCACATCTTTCTGTTCCTCCTCACAGCTGGCTGAGCATCCAACACTCCCACCCCAGCCTAAACACCACCTCCATGTCCTCACAGCAGCCCCCTGGCTTCCCTTTGTGGCTCACTGCACTTGCCTCAGCCCTAGTTCAGGCTTGGATGAGTCCTAGAGAATTTCCTATGCACCTGAAAGCCAGCTAGGTGTATGTGTAATGTCCAGTGGGATATAATTCACCATGCAACCCTCTACTTTGGGAAGTCAGGGAGGCTCCTTGAATGACTGTCAGTCTCTTATCTATTTCTGTGCTGTCAGTTTTTGTCACAGCACTCATTATGAACCAGCAGAAGAGATGCAGAAGGTCCTTTCCTGTCAGGCTGTACACGGCCAACTTAAGATGCATTATAGATACAGCAAGTCCTCATGTTAATCCAGCCTGAATCAGATAACCTTACTGCAGGGTTGCATCCTTACCTTGCTACCACCTGGGGAGATAATATTCAAGCTGTGCAGAGGTGGGGAGGGGTCTTGTTTTCTCCAGGATTGACAAATTTTTCTGTTCCCACTAGCCTTTTGACATTGGCTGTGCTTTTCTGCTCCCTTGCCTGCTGAACTCACAGCCTACTCCCTCCCACCCCCTCTGCTCCTGCAGGATCTCCCCACCACCACCACCACAGGCAGCATGGAAAGCGTGCGGGAGCTCCAGAACCCGCTCTTGGCCAAATCCAATGGCCACCTTCGCAGCAGCTATTCTTACCACCAGCACCACAGCCAGGACTACCCCAGCCACCGCTGCCAGGGGAAACTGTATTCCTACATATTCCAAAACACTGGCGGTGCCAGGACTCACCAGCTGCTGGATGCCAGTTCCCTGCAGCTGGCTGTTGAAGCTTTGTACGGCCCCAGTTTCATCCTTGTGAAGGATGAGACTGCTCTCAAGGCCAAGGACAGCAAGATGGAAAGCTGCGAGACCACTTTTACGGAAAGCAAAGAGTCGTCATCTGAAGCTCCTGAAGGGCAAGAGGCACAAGGGTCCTGTCTGGTAGAGAGTGACATCCGTATCCAAACTGTTTCCTATGAGGTGGAGGAAGAGGAGCTCCAGGAGTATGAGGTGAGCTTGGACAGGTAGGATAGCACTAAACTCCTGCGGTCATTATTTCTGGACATCGGCTCAAATTCTTGATAATTCATTCTCCCTTCTTTACCCAGAACTCCCCCCCAAATCCTACCACTTCCTGCCTCACCAGCCTCCCTGTGCACCCAGTATTTCTTCTTTCTCCTTATCATTTCTGCTCCTTTTTCCTCACTGCTGACCTCAGGAGGAAGTCAGCTTCCCTAAGAGGAGCCTGACTGCCTGCTGCTGGGAGCAAAAGGGAGGTGGGTCTCTGCAGGACCCTTGGGAAATGGGAATGCTTTGAGAAGGGCAGCCTGTCGCTGCTGTGGCACTAGAGCTAAAGAGAAACAGCAATCTTGCATAACAGCAAAATTCACATGCGTGATGGCAGCAGCTGAGAGAAAGCTTTATATATATAAAAAGACAGGATGAATCCTGCACAGGAAGAATGAGAGCTGACAAAGCAGCCTCATTGCTGTGCTGTGCTTGAACAGTGGTGCCAAGGCTGGGAAACATCATCCAGGATCTTGAGAGGTGGGAGAGGGTCCCAGAGCTCACTGGAGCTGATGCCTGATGACCCAGCACAGCTCTGCTTCTTTTGGTGTGGGTGACATAGCCTGTTCAGATGGGAGCAGGGATGTCCCCACTTCTGCGTCCCTTCCCCACCAAGACACATCACCTGCAGGGTGGTCTGAGGCTGGCCCAGCCGTGCCCAAGGGCAAGAGGGCTCACCACAGCCACTGAGCAGTGACTCACTAAGGGGACAGGGCATGCTGCCCCTGCGATGGAGGCTCCACTTCAAATGCTTTCCCTCACTTCCTAAATTAGTTTAGCAAGATATTGATCTCCTAGACTCTAATGGGGATAAGTCACTCTGTTTAAGTTTGTTTAAGCTGACAAACAGTCAGTTCTGCCAAAGCTGAAGATATTTCAGTTTAAGACTCTCTCTAATGCAGGGAAATCCCAGACCCCCAGCATTTGCACTGGCAGGGAGCCGAGAATCCAATTTGCTGAGCTACGTTGTTCCTCATCAAGCCATGCTGAAGAGTCTAAAATATTTTTGAAATTTACTCCTTGAATTTGCCAGTGAGAATTGTATGAGAACATGTGACGGGATCAGGAGAGAGTGGGAGCTGGGAGGCGAGGTGCTGAGATGCAGCCTGCGGAGTGGCACGGGGAGGTGGGCATGTGCTGAATCCATCTGGTTTTGCAGAGCGACTCCTCCAGCGACAGCGAAAGCGAGGATCATTTCCTGATGCTTCCCCCCCGGGACCACTTGGGCTTGGCCCTTTTCTCCATGCTGTGCTGCTTCTGGCCCCTGGGGATTGCTGCCTTCTACTTCTCTCAAGGGGTAAGGAGTCCCTTTGCTTGCCTGCATGTGCCAAGTGCTACAGCAAGGGCCCTGAAAGCCTCAGTGGCCCATGGAGGTGACCAGCACCTTTCTGAATCTAAGGTTCATCTCTGTGCATGGCCATAACTCTGAGGGTTGAGACGAAGGGTGTTCCTGGATGTCTCCACAATTGTTATGGAGTTGGAACCCCTCCAGTTCTGGTGTGGGTTACTGGAGGTCAGGCTTCTCCTTTGGGTTTTCTGGCTGTTATTTAGGGAACTGGGGCTCCTCTTGGCCTTGCCCACCTTCTCACCCTCCAGCCAGGTTCAGGAAAATGGCATTTTCCCACCTGTCCTCCCATTCTCCAGTAATGTGAAGGTTCTACACCATGACCCAGACTGAGGCAGCTCATTCTACAGGAGCCAGGCTGCCCCGGAGGCTGGAGGCAAAGGGGAGCTTGGTGTCCATATCACACTACAGCTCCTCTCTTGCACTTGTTTCTGATGCACACTGGCTGACCTGTGGGAGCCAATGCCAGGCTGGCAGAGGCTGGAGAGGCAATGGCCCTCAGGCTGCAGCAGCTCACAGGAGCTGCTGCATCCCTGAGGACTTAGCCTGGAGCCTGGGCTCACTTACTTTGCTGTTGACCCAGAGTAATTCATGCAGAGCCAGAGGATTTACTCCACATTTGCACAGATGCTGCTGTACCAAGAATAGATGGGAGGAGGCATTAAGAAGTTAAATCAAGAGGATAGGAACAGAAGTGGAAAAATATATTACATGAGTTCCTGGCACAGAGTTGGTGAGAGGCAGGGGAAGCATTAATTGATTAGGACCCCAAGGAGCAGTTGATTTCACATTTTTCCACGTAATGCAAGATAGCACAGTGCACTCTCCATGTGGTGATGCAGGCGGGGCATTTTATATCTAGCTCCATTTTCTATAACTACCCCCTTTGTCCACTCACTGAGGCAAGGACCATATCTGTTTTGGTGTCTTTGCACATTGAGTGCATTGATGCCCACCCAGCAACTTGAACTCAAGTAGTAGGTAAAAAGAGCATATTGGAATATGCCCTGAGCACTCAGAGAAGATGGAAGTCACCATCCTTTTCCAGAGAGATAAGGATGTGTCTCCACTGCTGGTTTCATCAGCCCTTCAAGAGCAAATGGGCTTCAGCTGAAAACCCCATGCAGGAAAAATCAGGTGGCAGCACAGCTGGACCAACAGACCATGCCATCCTAGGCAGTTCTCGTTACATCTCTCTATAGGGTGCACCGGTATCAGCCATCATCCCATGCTCTGAGGTCTTACAAGAGTCCAGCCACCCACTCACAGCTCTGGCTGTGTATCCTGATGGGTGCTTTCAGACAAGTAGCTGAAGCCCATGCTTCCCCTGGAGGCGAAATCCACAGGGAAATGTGTGCAGGTGGCACTGCTGCTCTGAGCCCTCCCAGACTGACAGACACCTTGCTGTCTGTTCCCAGCCTCCAAGGGGTGCAGTGGCCAGACAAGAAACACTGACTCATTAATGAAACAACTGCATGCTGGTTAAAGGCCAGGTTGGTACAGCTGTGAGCAACAAGCATTTCTTCTCCTTCCAGACCAGCAAGGCTGTCTCCAAAGGAGATTTTCATCTGGCCAGTTCAGCTTCCCGCCGAGCTCTCTTCCTTGCCGCGCTCTCCATAACCATTGGCACAGGAGTGTACATCGGGGTGGTGGTAGCACTGATTGCTTATCTCTCGAAAGGCGGCCACGTGTAGCTGCCACCTGCATGTCACTGCCATCCCTGGCCGCTGGCCCTTCTGGGACTGAGCTTTCCTGCAGAGCACCGAGCACCAGCGCCTGCGAGGGCTGCTTGCACAGCAGGACCCCAGCATGGATGTCCTGTGCAGGTTTCTTCCTCTTTCAGACAAACAGTAGACCCCTGTTCTCCCTGAAGTTGTGGTGTGTGACCATCTAACAACAGGGAATTGAGCACCAGCCTGGCTGCTGGGACAAGGAGGAGCACATTTGCCTGGTGGAAGATGTGCAGGAGGGAAACCACACGCTGCTGCTGGGCTGGTGCAACCACCCCAGTCTGGGGCTACAGCTTCCCTTCTCAGTCCCACAGCTGGGAGATCCATCACTTGCCCAGGCTTGGCCCATGAAGGGTACACACAGGAAGAAGAGGGAGTATGGTGCCAGGGAATGACTGCTGCTTCTTCTGGGAGTCCTGGTGGGGTCTCCAGACTCCTGTGATGGGGACAACATTCTCACTTCAGTGCTGTGGGGTGGCCTGACCCCTCAGCTGCAGTGAAGTAGGAGGACAGAGCACGGACAAGACCAACAGGCATGCTCTCTGCATCCATCGGCAGACAGACCCCCAATCCACAGCAGAACATCCCAGTTCCTGGTCTATCCCAAATCAGAAGCAGGAGGAAGGCAGGCTGGTGGTTGCACACCATCTCTCCCATTGTTGGTGCAAGCTGGTAGAGACAGCAAGGTTTTCTCTGTGTTAATAGTGACTGCTATGGTGATCCCAAGTCAGAGCCCTCATAAGGTTGCTGTCCCAGAGTGCTCGGCCCTCAAAAGTTTTTTAATGGAAATCTCTATCTAAGAAGTGTCCTGGGAGGGGTGCTGGCCTTGAAGGGTTCCACTCCTTGTGCTAGGTCAGGGCCCTGCACACGAAGAGAAATGGAAAGAAAAGGATGACAAAACCTGCAGAATCTGGGGTGGGAGTTCTGCTTGTGAGGGGATGAGATCCAGAGAAGGAAGAGACGTGGAAGGAGCCTGAGACACGGGGTGACCTCAACACACTCCTTCCCATGCCTTGGAGAGAGGTATCTCCATCCATCCAAAAATCTCTGGTAACAAGGAAATACCAAGCACCCCCACCCCGCCCCATACATCTTACTTTTGCTTATTTGTATATTGTCAGCAACATATTAAATGCTTCAGAAGTGGGTATGAAGGCAATGGTTGCCCCAAAGGGCGGGCGTTAAGAAGCTATGCCTTGCCCCCTACTCTCCAGCATCCACCTTTGACCATCCCTCCTCTCTCTGGCTCTCCTGTTGCCTCTTGTCCCCATGTGCAGGAGACTGCAGGCAGACTCTGGGCATCCCTCATCCCCTTCCCAGAGTTTCTGGGCAGGCTGCAGCCAGCTTTGCAAGAGAGGCAGCATGTTCCTCCAGCTGGGTGCCATTCAAATGTACATTTCATCCTAAAGAAGCATGTTAATGTCTGCGATTGCCATTGTACTTGAGCCATAAAAGAGAGGAGTGCATCAGAGACCTGTACAGAAGTTGGTCTGAAAGTTCCCATTATGTTTTTTAACATGGAAGAACTAATAAAAAAAGCAGGAGAAAAGACTCTGTTTATAATAATGTGGAGCTGGCTGTCAAAGAGGTGAGCTTCACAAGAATGCCACACTCACTTAAACCTGAGGTGTTTATGCTGTTCCTGAAGGAAGTTATAATCTAGCTGGTGTCTGGGTATCTTGGAGGGAGGTATATTTCAATGCAGATCACAGTGGGCAAATACCACCGAGAGCAGAATGGTGGTGTAGGCTTTTTTTCCCCTGTGTAGTTGGACAAGAATTAGGGAGAAAGACTGGAGCATCTGTGTGTAGTAGAAGCATAAAATCTGCTTGAAGAGGGGCAGAAAAATACAAACATCAGGAGGAAATAAGGAGATCTTTCTTCTGATGGCGGACAGAGAGGCAGAATTTGCAGGGAAGGGCTGGCATGTCCAAAAGAGATAAGGTGGCCTTAGAGAAGAGTAATAAGGGGCAGAATCACCTGGCACCCATGTGATCGTTTTAATTCCCCTCTCCTGCACGTGCTCAGCCTTCCTGGATGTCCATCCCTCCAAATAACCAAGCAAGAGCATTATTTCAGGAGAGGGGATGTCTGTGGGTGCATCTGCAGCAGGGGTGACCAGCCCCACCACCCCCAGCTCAGTGCTGTCCCGGCTAAAGCCCTCCTCATCTCTCCCCTTCAAGTACCCCAGAATCAGCAGGGGTGGGGGTCCCTGCTGATTCTGGTCGAGACAAAATGATTTGGGCTGCCAGACCAGAATCTACAATAAGATACAGCATTTGCTTCTGAATTTGTAATTCTTCCAGCTGGTTCCCTTCAGGGGCTTCCAAGGGTGGGGGGTCCAGCCATCTTCAGCCCACTTCCCATGAGCATTCCATTCCTCTGAACCCCAAACTCCTTCTTTGTCTTTTTTTTAATTGGAGCTGCATGGGGAAGGAGCGAGCTAAAGGGCCAACAGAATTAGAGTCTTTTCTGCTAATAGCCTGAATCTCTGATGAACTTGTCAAAGCGGGGGAGAAGGGGCTGTGCCAGAGCATCCCTAAGGGGGCATTATGCAAATGCAGAAATTAGTTGGAAACAGCCTGAAGGGAAACATGTGGAAATTTAAATCCAAGGAAGAGCATGATCACTGCTGAATAACTTATTATAGATTCACAGCATCTGCTGTAGCTGCCTAAGCAGAAGGGAAGGAAGCAAAAAGGCAACAAGACACAGCAGTCAGGGAAGGTTCAAGCTCCAGAAACTTGACTGAGCTTAAAAAAAATAAAATAACTAAACTACAGTGGGTGTGGAAGAAGTGACTCTTCACCCCCCTTCCTCCCATCCTCCCAGAGAAGGGGTCCCTCTCCCAACCAGGACCCTCAGCTCAGCAGCAGAGATCTGTAATGGCCCAGATCCCATAAGGGATACTCAGAAATTTGGGGGAGAGGAATAGCCTCAAGTTCTGGCCTGGCAACATGTCTGGCCCAGAAAGGAGAAGGAATGGAGGGAGCCTGGCAGGTCACTGCTGTGGGAGGTGATGTGAAGGGCAGAAAGTGCAAAGATATCTTTGGCTGTGTAGAGGGGCGGTGACAAAGTGAGATCTCTGGTGGCTGATGAGGGAGACTTTGGGGTCTCTGAGATGGGGGTGGAGGAGGGTTGGTGAAACAGTGATGTTCTATAACCACAACCTGCAGTCCTTCTCTGCATCCCAGAGCTTTCTTAAAAATAACCACAGGTGGTACTGAAGAGTTCCAGGACATAGCAGAACAAGTCCCTCTTCTCCATTCATGACTGGGACATCTGTTTGTAACCAAGTTCTGCACCAGGTGGCTGCAGGTGCCTGTCCCTGTGAACACAGGTACTGACTGGCACCCTCAGCACAGGTCTTTCAACCCCCTGGCCTCAGCAACCCTGTACCATCACCCTCCTCCCCACTGCTCCCCAAATGCCCATGCCCTGGCTCAGCTGCCCCACCAGTACCAACCTTCATCCTAAGCCAGTGACACCGAGTGACAGATGCAGACAGTCACCAGAAAGCCCATTCCCTGCCCCCTTCCCCAAATCTGTGCACAAACACCCCTCTCTCGTTTCACATCCTCTGTGGCCTTTGGGTTGCCAGAAGTGCCATGACCAGGTGTCCCAGATGCCCTCCTTGCTGTGAGGACAAGAACTTGGGGACCAAGTCAGCCCCACTCCCTGGACTGGTTGAACATCCCCTCCATCCCTCCCCTGCCTTGGAGATGCTCCTTGCTCAGCCAGGAGCTCAGAGCAGCACTGTCTGAGGTATATTGGGATTTGGTTTCTTTTCACAGCAGCAGAAAACACATTGTCTTCCAGCTTGAGCTTCTTTTTTAACCTCCACAGCATCAAGGTGAGCACTTCCTGCAGGCCTTTCTCTTCAGAAGCAGCTAAGGACAGGGTGGATAAAGACTGTGCCAAGGGCGGGCGTGGCCTTTGAATCCTACCTCCTTCTGGATGCAGCCAGGAAGAAAGCTGCTGAGGAAAGAAGCTGCTCCTCAGCACAGATCTGAGCGATTGATACATCTGAGCCGTCGCCTGCTCTGCTGCCACTGCTCACCCCTCGGCAAGTGCTGTGGTGTGCCAAAACAGTCTCACTGGCTACAAATAGGAGCTGGGAAATACTGATGGGGGATGCTGGGATGGGGCCATGCTGGATCTCACTCCTCTTCCCACAGGGATGAGCTGAGAGGATGGTGAAGGGGAAAAAAGCTGGTGTGGTTTGTGGGGGACTCAGAACCCCTGTGGGACACTGTCCCCAGCCAACGGGATCACTAGGACACTGGTCCTCCCACACACCCCCAGCCAACCTGGCCCTCCTTGGGGTCAACCCCAAGGTGGGTGATGTGGAAACTACCAGAGCAGAATATGGGGTGTCCTTCCTGCTGCACTCCCAGCACCCTCACTCCCTGGGAGGACAAGCCCCTTGCAGAGGCAAAACCGCCGTCTCACCAGCACCCATCAGGGGAGTGGGATTGCAACCATGCTGGTGGAGCAGAAATGCCTTTATTTCACCCCCATCTCTCATCTGGAGGATGGTGAGAAAAGAGACATGGGTAAATAAAAGCAGAGTGAGTCCTTTGGCTCACTTAATAGCACAGCGAGTGTTTTCCCTTCACAGTAATCCAGTAAGGAAATAGCTAATTATCTGAGACAGGACAAATTTTTATTTCTGTCAAAAAAAAAACCTTTAAAAATCATGTAGCAGTGCATCTCTTCACCTAGTTTGTCTTTTCCTCTTTGCTCCCCAAAAACAGCCTGCAGTGGAGAGAGTATGGGGAGGCACAGCCTGTGGCAATGCCATCTCTCCTGGGGCTAGTGGGAGAGGATTTTTGCAGAGAGAAGCCAATTAGGAGCTTTTGCTCAGGCAGGCATCAGCTGCTGGGAAATCAGGAGCTTCATTACCTCTGCTCTCACCACACACGCAGGCACCAGCTCACTCTCGCACAGACTCCAGCAGCCACACATGCTAGAACACACTGCTGGGGTCAAGCTGTCCCCATGGGGCAAGAGGGCAAGGGCTGTCAAGAGGGGACAGAGCACTAGATGGGGACACCTTGCTGAGGACAAGGCATGGTCTCCGTGGTCACTGGTGAGTGACAGGGCTTGCTGTGATGCCTCTGGAGGGCTTGGTTCGTGAGGGTGACACAGGAGGGTGTTGGCACCACCCTCCACTGCTCATCTATCCCTTGTGGTGCCCACGGACTGTACCCAATACAGCCCCCTCTCCACCGTTCCACTCCGTGTCCTGGTGGTGTCCAGGCACAGGGACATCTGGGGACCACGCCTGCAGGCGTGCTGCTTGTCTGAGCTGACCCTGGTTTTCCTCTAGTTGATGTCTGGGCTGGATCTCAGAAGCAAGAAGGCGTTTGCGGATGGACCACCAATTCCCTTAGTAGGTGTATGTTGAAGATGCAATTTAAATATTCTCACTGATGGTACTTCAGAAGATTTGGAGACTCAAGACTAACAGGTGTCAGAAGCACCCAACTTAGGAGTTCCTAGGCCAGACAGAGCCTGAGTCTCCCTACTCAAAATCAGCAGGATCTCCCCTGAGCAGTGAAGCTCGTGCTGCCCCTCCAGCTATGCCAGAGAGTGGGATGGGGGCAGTGGTGGAAGAGCCTCTCTTCTCCCCTCACCCTGCCCCACTCCTGCCCATTTCTGCTCAGGAGCTTTTCTGGCTGCAGGGTTGTGCTCAACTTGCTCCCATCCTCTGAAGGCTTCCCAGCAGAAATGTGCCTCCTCTGCAATTGCTCTGTCTACTTAACCAGTTTTTAACCCTTTCAGTATTTGCTGACTTTATTTTTAAATAAATCTTGTTCCTTAATCAAAATGCCAGGCAAAATCAATCCCAGTTTCTCATAGAAGTCAGAGTGCAGAGTGCTGCCTTCTCCTGGCACAGAGAGCTGAAGGACAGCCCAGTGGGCAAGGGGCCCTTCCAGCCACCCAGGCAGGCTCCTGCCCAAACTCACCCAGTTATGGAAGTGTCTGAAGACATAACTTTATTCTCAAGCACCTGAGTTTGGCAGGAGTGTGTGTCCATCCTGCCACAACTCTCCTACCTTTCCCAGCACGACAGTTACTGAAGTGATGGAAAAGGGATGGGGAGATAAGTAAAGGAAGATGCCAGGGGAGGAGAAATGAAATGCAAATGTAAGTGCAGTATCTGCTGAAATGGCATCCTCAAAATAGTATATCAAAATCTAGGCATGGGCACCAAACTCTTGGCACTATTAGGCTAGAAAAAGGAAAGTTTGCTTCCTAAAGTGCTTTCATACCTGATTGCTTTCTCCAAAACTGCAGTATTTTCCAGAGGTTGGCTGTGCTAAAATAGCCTTACACATCAGCATACTTGTTTTCTAGAAGAGGAAAGGCTGGGAACACTGCATCTGGAACTTGGCCAAACTGCTGGGATGGAACCACACCAAGAGTTGTCAGGTAGGGGCTGCTCCAAGAAAGCTAAGACAGATATTAATTTGCTGTTGATATTTTAGAAGATCTGTTGGGCTGGAGGGCAAGATCCTTGAGCATCTATATGAGGATTGATCTTCCATAATTTCACTAGCAAGCTGGCATAGGAAAGAGTGTCATTTACTAATGAGACAAATTAGGAGGGTTTTGAAATACAGAAGAAGAGTAGAGAAACTGGGCTACCTTGAAGGCAGGAGTGATGGAGATGGGATGAAATGCAGGGAAATGCAATGAGGTGTTGCCAGCAGGAATTGCTGCAGCAGGCAGGGAGGTCCTCAGCTGGCAGCAACCAGAGAAAGGCCTGAGCCATTGCTCTAACACGAAAAAGGCAGATCTGATGTTTGGGTAATTGGTTCAGTAAAAAAATATTCATGAAGCATAATGGCAGGGCAGTGATGGGCCACAGCTGGACTCCAGAAGACATTTTCAGCCACAGCACATGAGATGAATTTTAATGGAAAGGAGGCAGAGCAGGTGGTAGAACAGGGAACAGGACCTGGCAGTGGCTGGCATAACTTGCTGCGACACAGGCAAATGGTTCCCCACAAATATCCCTGGGGCACAGGAGGTAAAAGATTCTGTTGGAACAACTAAATTGGCTTGGCAGCACTAGTTGCCTGTAGTCTGGACCTATGGATGGAATTATGCAGGGGACTGATAAAAATGATCCCTTTTTTTCCTCTCATCCTTTTTTTCTCCTCCCCACACAGATATTATTGATAATGAATTGCTGCTCTGCTTGTCAGCATGTGAGCAGTTTTGAATGGTGGCTCTGGCTTCTCTATCATCCTGCTGCTGCTACTTGTCTACTCTGATGATCCCAGGAAAGCACATTTCACTATCCTGTGAAATGCAGCCCTTCTACCACCTTGATGTACTTTTAGGACCAACACTATTGCTCTTTGCACCAACAAACGAGCTGCCTGTGCAAAATCTGGAGGCAAAGCTGTGCTTGAGCTAACATGTATCAGCTAAATGTCCCAAAGCTTTGCTTGAGCATAACCAACTATTCCCACAGCACCTGGGCAGGCTCTGCTGCACTGCACTGCCCACCTTCCACACTCCACTCACAGATGCAACTGAGATGCCTTAGGGTCAGTGCAAAGGAGAGCCCTAAATTACATGTAAGCGAAAGGCTGGTCCCTGTGTGCTTTGCAGCCCCCCAGCTTCTGCTTTTCAGTCACCTTTTAATTTTCACCTTTTCTGGGGCCAGTATTTATAAGCACCTGTCTGTGAAGGAGTTTAGGTGACACCTGAGCT